AGCCCCAGGACACACACACACACACTAAAACAAAACACCAGAAAAACAGACATCACCTGAGATGAGAACAGAGATGATTTGCTTTGATGGTGAGGGCAGCAAAATGTGTTACTGGGGCCCAGGGAGCAGGCTAAGAAAGCTACTGGTGCCAGGCGCTGGTGGCTCCCGCCTGTAATCCTAGCCACTCAGGAGGCTGAGATCTGAGGATCGCGGTTCAAAGCCAGCCCGGGCAGGAAAGTCTTGTAAGATTCTGATCTCCAATAAACCACCAGAAAACCAAAAGTGGCGCTGTGGCTCAAGTGGTAGAGCGCCAGCCTTGAGCTGAAGAGCTGAGGGACAGCGCCCAGGCCCAGAGTTCAAGCCCCACGACCGACAAAAAAAAAAAAGAAAGCTACTGATTGTGTGTGTGTGTGTGTGTACACGCATGTGCCAGGATTAGGGCTTGAACTCAGGACCGTAAGTTTTCAGTGGGCTTTTAAATTTTGCCCATCCTGGAGCTTGAACTCAGGGCCTGGGTGCTGTCCCTGGGCTTTTCCCTCAAGGCGGGCGCTCTACCCCTTGAGCCACAGCGCCACTCCTGGTTTTCTGGTGGTTCATGGGAGATCAGAGTCTCACAGACTTTCCTGCCCGGGCTGGCTTTGAACCGCGATCCTCAGAGCTCAGCCTCCGCGTAGCTGGGATTGCAGGCGTGAGCAGCGGTGCCCGGCTGCCTCATCCGTGTCTCCCGGGCCCAGGCTCAGAACATGCTGAAGAAGGTGGAAGGCTTGGAGAATCTAAGCAGCCTCACCACACTGCATCTTCGAGACAACCAGATCGAAAATCTCAGCGGCTTCTCCAAGGAGATGAAATCCCTGCAGTACCTCAACTTGCGGTAGGCGCCCGGAGCCCCGCCCACTCGCAAGGCCCCGCCCACCACCCAAGCCTCGCCCACTCACAAGGCCCCGCCCACCCCCAAGCCTCGCCCACTCACAGAGCCCTGCCTGTCTTCCCCAAGCCTCGCTCATCCATCTAAGCCACGCCCACTCGCGAAAGCCACGCCCACTCCTTTGATCTGCGGTGGCTCCACCCGGCCAGTTACTGTTTTGGCCAGGCCTGGGTCTTGAACTCAGGGCCTGGGCGCTGGCCCTCGAGCCACACTTCTACTTCGTCTTTGTCTTGCTAATTAGTTGGAGATAAACGAGTCTCGCAGCCTCTCCTCTCTGGGCCGGCTCTGAACCGTGATCCTCGGGTCTCGGCCTCCTGAGTAGCTGGGATGGCAGGCGGGAGCCCCCGCGCCCGGCGCCTCTCATCTTTTTTAGACCCCCCAGTCCCAGCCCCCAGCTAGGTCCTGACTTCCCCCTCCTTCCTGCTTTCCACACCTTCTGTGGCCCCGAAATCCTTACATTCACTGAGTCCGCCATGATTAAGAATAGACAGGCTCCCGCCTGTCAGCCCAGCGACGCTGGAGGCTGAGGGCTGAGCATCTCAGTGAGAGGCCAGCCTGGGCTAGAAACTCCCTGGGATTCTCGTCTCCAGTTTGCTCTCCCTCCCCGCCGCCGGACGTCAGTAGGCCGGTGGCTCAAGTGGTAGAGCGCTGGCTGCCAGAGGCGGCGCCCAGGCCCTGAGTTCAAGCCCCACAGGTGAAAAGGAGAGCGGCCATCCCGCGTGCGCGGCTGGCGCGGGCCTGGCGCGGGGCTGAGCGCAGGAGGGTGGGCGCGGCGGGTAGCGGACGCCTGTGAGCCCCGCAGGCCGGGCCCGGGCGCGCCCCCCCAGCGGGTGACGTCGGGTCCCGGTGCCCGCAGAGGCAACATGGTGAGCAGCCTGAGCGAGGTGGCCAAGCTGCGCGAGCTGCCCAAGCTGCGCGCGCTGGTGCTGATGGAAAACCCGTGCGCCGACGAGACGGACTACCGCCAGGAGGCCCTGGTGCAGATCGCGCACCTGGAGCGGCTGGACAAGGACTTCTACGAGGAGGAGGAGCGCGCCGACGCCGACGAGGTGCGCCAGCGGCTGAAGGAGGAGCTGGAGCAGGAGGCGGACACGGAGAACGATCTGGAGCACGACGCGTCCTCCGCGCCCCTGGTGTAGCCGCGGAGCTCGGTGAGGGGCTGGACCCCACGGCCGGGCGGGCCGTGAACCGCGATCCTCCGGATCTCAGCCTCCTGAGTGGCTGGGGTGACGGGCGGGAGCCGCCGGTGTGGGCCAGGCCCCGGAGCAGGGGGGTGGGCAGATCGGATGAAGGTTTAAGACCAGAGGTCAGAGGTCAGATGCCCAGGAGGGCGGGGATTGCCGCGGGGGGGCGGGGGGCGGGGCACCGCATGGAGATGGACACCTCGAGTTTGGGATGGGGGCGGGGAAGGGGCGGGCAGTTGGGCCGGGGGGGCAGGAGTGGGGGGCCGGGGAGGGAGGGGCCGGGTGGGGCAGAGGCTCCACGCGTGCGGTTTCTCCTCAGGAGACCATGACAGCCCCCAAGACCTGAGCTCCGCCGGGACCGAGTCACCCCGCGAGCTGGAACCCCTGGGGGCCCGGGGTGCGGGGGGGGGACCCGGGGGGGCCCGGGGTGCGGGGGGGGAGGACGGATGGAGGGAGGGGAGCGGGGGGGGTCAGGGACGATCGGGTTTCGAATAAAGAGGCTTTTTTGGTCCATGTGAGTCTGGTGGTTTGTGGGTCACAGAGGCAGCGGGGAGGGGACCCCAGAACCCGGCGGGGCCGCCCCCGCCCCCCTCCGCGCGCTACGTGCGGCGGCTCCTGATTCAGGGGCTCGGGTCACGTGC